GTTTCAGTACTCACAGACAAAACACACGCACCTTTCATGCAAAGTTTTCCTTGTCTTTAATTTGTGGCGGCTTTTCCTTACTCGTCTCCTTCGAGCTATGAAGGAGGGCTAGCGTCATGAGAATATCATTGTACGCAACAGGTGTGAAAAAATGAAAAGTGAAACATGAAGTGAAAAGCTTCATGTGCGGTGAGTAATCAAAAACTCCATCCTCACGAGCAATTATTCACTCTCTTGCTACAATCCGTCGATTGGTTGAGTCCTCTCGACATCAGAGAGCTATCTTGTCCAGGTATTAATTAAAAGTCAAAATTACTGGCTAAACATGCTCAATTTAAAATTGGTTGTGATCGAATTGAGAAACAGGCATTATTGTTAGTGATCACTATATGCATACAAAATTGGTTGCGATCAATCATCTGGGTTGAAATACGCTTAGTTGGGTTGATATGGGTTGGCTCTGGCCACGTTGTCAGTTGTATGGCAAGCGTTAAGTGACTTTTTCCTACGAAACGCGCTTTTTTTATAAAGTTGTATAAAATGAACACTAAATGAGTTGCCGGGCAAACAAGGCAAACGACACATTATTTGTGCACTTAAACGACAAAACTTAATTTGGAATTTCTTGGTAGAAAGAAGCCAAACTATTTTCAACAGTCATATCTGCTGCAAATGAATTAAGCAGAATTTTCCCTTAAAATGTTTCTCTCATTTCAAAAAAATTTTAACTTTGTAGTTGTGTTTTGCCGAGTTTCTGAAGATAATATTACAAATTCTGTTTTAAAGTAAAAAAAAACCTAGTTAACGTGTCATTTTCACCCTCTGCAAAATTAAATGCTTCTGCCTTTTGGGAGTGATAGGAAGTAAATCTTTTTGTCAATCCACATTTTCATATCCATTTTAATATTAATTAATTTGTAATGAGTGACATATTTTCAATTCTTCTGTAATTGCTTTCTTATTCCCGAAAGTAAGAACCAAGAAACTGCTGAAGACGAAATTGAAAACAAGAGAGAATGCTATAGAGTTCCCCGACTATTAAATACCTATTTTATAAACCTATTTTATACCTATTATAATAAATGAGGTAAAGTGGGCGTGGAAAAAAGATTTTGACAAATGGATAACAATTTATAAGACTAATAAAAAAATTATCTAAAATAGAAACAAGACAGACTGCTATAGTCGATTTCCCCAACTATCAGATACCCATTACTCCGCTAGTGCGAACGAGAAATTTCATAATTTTCTGGAATATCAGCATATTCCGCAATAAAGACATTTATTCACGTTTTACATTATTTAAGTACATTAAAACCCACAAATCATTTGATGTTTTATAATTATTTTTGAGAAATTTAAATTATGCAATTCTTGGAATATCATTTTTATTAATAGGTAAAATATTTTTATACAACTGCAAATAAAAATTAACTCACACATTTAATTAAAAAAAAGTTCATGCCAAATTTATGGAAGGCGGCAGGCAGTCGGCGTAGTGACGAAGCCAATAAGGAGAGCGTGCGTAGACGACTATGGTTGTCCGATATTAACGGTAATGAAAGGAATTGCATACCAATACTTTGAAAAAATCTATGGTTTTGGAAAAAAAGGTGAAAGGGTCAATTATTGTTAAAAGTACACATCGATTGACTTCGCATTTGTCCAAATCCGATGGTACGTTCCAAAAATATTCCCAGTTTGTTCGTTTGTCATGAAATCATTTTTTTGAATTAAACAGGTCGATATAAGAGAATTTAGGTCTACCACTTTCGAAAAACCGAGCTGGTTTTAGCGAGATGGCTTATTCTTTCTATGCTTTTCAAACGTATTATATCTAAATGCAAAAAATTTGAAACTATGGAAATACCAAGTAGCTTTTTAAACTTTTGGTGAATTTCTCGAAACCGTGTTCAACTATTTATTTTAAAGCTTCTCCGTTTACTACTGGTTATAGTGTTGATAGTGTGGTGGCAAATTCATGATCTTCCCAAAAAAAAACTTCTGATATCAAACCAAAATGACTAAAGCATAAGTGACGTTTACACATCACATGTTCTATTACCTTTTGTGATGAAAAAGTACTTTGAACTTTTAAAACCACTAAGAAGTAAATCACTTAAAAATCTCCTAAATCAGAGGAAAAACCAATTAATTTTTGCTATAAAATTACCGAGAGAACATGTAAAAATTATATTTAGGTTAACTATAAAGTATTAGTATAACTATAACTAATTATAATTTAACAAGATAGAATGCTATAGTCGAGTTCCCCGACTATCAGATACCCGTTACTCAGCTAGTGGAAGTGCAAATGAGAAATTTCAAAATATTCTGAAATATCGGTAAAAAGTAAGGACAAACAAAAAATTTAAATTGAAAAAAAAAAACTTAAAAATTGGGCGTGAGATTTTGGGCGTTTTATGGGTGTTAGAATGGACGTGGCAAAAAGTTTTTGGGCAAATCTATAGAATATTACAAGATATATACAAAAGTGAAAAATTTCACAACATTCTTCAAAAGTGTGGGTGCAACAGTTTTTGGCAGTTTGTGGGCGTGACTAAAATTGTTTTGGCAAATCTATAGAAATTTACAAGATATATAAAGAAGTGAAAATATATCTCAACATTTTACAAAAGTATGGGCGTGACAGGTTTGGGCGGTTTGTAGGCTTTGGAGTGGGTGTGGCAAAAAGTTTTTTGGCAAATCTATAGAATATTACAAGATATATAAAAAAGTGAAAAATATCACAACATTCTTCAAAAGTGTGGGTGTAACAGTTTTTGGCAGTTTATGGGCGTGGCAAAAAGTTTTTTGGCAAATCTATAGAACTTTACAAGATATATTCAAAAATGAAAAAATATCAAAACATTTTTTAAAATTGTGAGCGTGAAAGATTTGTGCGGTTTGTAGAAGTGGGAGTGGCAAAAAGTATTTTGGTAAATCGTGACAGTTTTGTGCTGTTTGTGGGCGTTAGAGTAGGCGTGGCAACATTTGGAAACAAACCTGGGCTATGTCTCAGGAAGCTGCATGCTTAATCTCAATATTCTAGCTTTTGTAGTTCCTGAGGTCGAGGTGTTCATAGGAACAGACGGACACACGGACATGGCCATATCGACTCGGCTTTTGATGCTGATATATTATATATATATATACTTTAATATATATACTTTATATGGTCGGAAACGCTTCCCTCTGCCTGTACATACTTTTCAACGAATTTAGTATAGCCTTTTACTCTAGTTTACGAGTAACGGGTATGCAGCTTCCTGAGGCATAGACGCAGCCCAAGTTTGTTTTCAAATGTGGTCACGCCCACAAAGCTGTCACGCCCACACTTTTGAAAAATGTTGTGATATTTTTTCACTTTTTTATATATCTTGTAAATTTCTATAGATTTGCCAAAATACTTGTTGCCACCCCCACTCTAACGCCAACAAATCAAACAAAACTCTCACTCCCACACTTTTAAAAATTTGATTTTTTTTTTATTTTTTTCTCCCAATTTCTACCGATATTCCAGAAAATTTTGAATGTTCTTGTTAGCACTTCCACTAGCTCAGTAACGGGTATCTGATATTCGGGGAACTCGACTATAGCATTTAAATAAATTTTTCATTTTTAATTTAAATAAAATTTTTTCCCCAATTCCACCGATATTCTAGAAAATGTGGAAATTTATCGTTCGCACTTCCACTAGCTGATAGTCGGGGAAGCGTTTCCGACCATATAAAGTATATATGTATATTCTGATCAGGATCAATAGCCGAGTCGATCTGGCCACGACCGTCTGTCCGTATGAACGCCTCGATCTCAGGAACTACAGAAGCTAAAATGTTGATATTAAACATGCAGCTCCCAGAGACATAGACGCAGTGCAGGTTTGTTTCCAAATATTGCCACGCCCACAAACCGCAAACAAAACTTCCACGCCCACACTTTTAAAAAATGTGCTTTTTTTTTATTTTTTTATATATTTTGTAAATTTTTATAAGTTTGCCAAAAAACTTTTTGCCACGCCCACCCTACACCCACACACAAACCACCCAAAACTGTCACAGCCACACTTTAAAAAAAATTTTAAATTTTCTTCATTTTATTATTTTTTTCCCCAATCCTTACCGATATTCCAGAAAATGTTGAAATTTTTCGTTTATGGAATAACGAGTATCTGATAGTCGGGGAACTCGACTATAGCATTATATCTTCTTTTGACTTAATCTATCTTAATATTTAAGTTTCTTGCAGTTTTGGAAATCTGTTTTGCGTAGGTTCGAAGAGGCTTCAAGTTGAATTAATAGAGGCGAATTTTGTTTTCCAACAAGGGTGCTCTTTGTCGACATATCAGCCAGCAAATGTTTAGTGTTTTCAATTTGAGCTTTCACATGATTTTCTCATTTTTGAGTCGAGCAATATAGTCTTAGTCAGAAAGTTATTTGGAATAATTTCAGGGCGTTAATTATTAATCTTCATTGAAGAAACTATGAGTTCCGTCACTGAAGTTTAGGAGCTTCATCTCTAGGGCAGTTTATATTTTGTTTGGCTTCAGAATCATAATGATCTCTACACATTTCCATTGATTTGAAAAATGGTCTAAAATGAGAATCGCTGTAAATAAAAGCGTTGGAACCCGATTTTCCATAATTTTGATAATCATGTCTTCAGGGAATTTTGTTATTTAAGCAATTAATTTCTGATACAAATATTTTAAATTTAAAATTTTTTGAATGTTTGGTGGAGATCTCCCAACCACTTACCATACCTGATTTATCACAATATGTTAGCTGAGGAACTCAAATTGTTCAATTATAATTATGAACAATAAATGTGCCCGACGCTAGATGCTAGTGATGCTTTATGCTTTATGAAGACCAAGCTTTACAAATCAGTACAATACTTATACAGCTTTTATTATTTACCATATATCAACATGAAATAAATGGTTTGAACTCAATTGGCTTATAAATATTCGCTCGCGGACGAATTTAAACACAGCCCTGGCCAAAAAAAAAATCCAAAGGTTATGCGCATGACAAGCCCCTTGAAACACCAACGCGTTCGGAAGCAGCAACCCCAATGGATTACTTCCTTGGAATGCACCCAGTTGCTGTCGCAAGGAATTTTAGCTGAATCACATCGCCAGCAGAGGCCAGTAAGTCAAACTATGAAACTGTTCTGTGTCACAAATTAAAGAGCTAAAACAGGTAGATAATTAACAGCCATCGCTCGCGCTCGAATTTTGAATCTATGTGAAGTTCACAAAATCAATATACCTCGTACCTTACCGTAACAGTAGTCTTTGCGTAACCCGGCCGACCGACAAATAATTTATTTTCTCGTAGAACAATTAGTATGTCAATATGTCGATATCGTCTTCACACCCGGGTGGGTTAAAAGCTGACGGCACAGCCACCCAGTATAAAGAAACGACGGCCACCATACAAACCTCTGGGCTTCAGTTATCACCTAGGTCCTTCCTACCAGAGCGAGAGGATACGTTAGAGTACTTCATTAAGTTTCCGAAGACTTCATCTAAAAATGAGTTTGTACTAGCAAAGGACCACGACAGCGAGGACAGCCACGTGCCCATTGTCATGCTGTTGGGATGGGCGGGCTGCCAGGATCGATACCTGATGAAATACTCTAAAATTTACGAGGAACGGGGGTAAGTGCGACAGCATGCTTTTGTGCTGACATACCAACACTATCATTGTTTATGACATTTCGCTATTCCTAGACTAATTACTGTGCGATACACGGCTCCGGTAGACAGCCTATTCTGGAGGCGATCTGAAATGATTCCTATCGGCGAGAAAATACTCAAATTGATCCAGGATATGAATTTTGACGCCCATCCATTAATATTTCACATATTTTCTAATGGCGGGGCCTACCTGTACCAACATATTAATTTAGCTGTGATCAAGCACAAATCTCCGTTGCAGGTTCGCGGAGTGATTTTTGACTCTGCTCCTGGAGAGCGTAGGATATTAAGCCTTTATCGCGCTATTACAGCCATCTATGGCAGGGAAAAACGCTGCAACTGCTTGGCCGCACTGGTTATAACCATCACACTTAGTATCATGTGGTTTGTGGAGGTTGGTTACGTTGAATCTAATAGGTGTAGATTATTAGCATTTACTGTTGACTTCGTTTCAGGAATCAATTTCTGCCTTAAAAAGCCTGTTTGTGGCGTCATCGCCAATACGCCCCAGCCCGTTCTGCGACCTCAAAAACGAAGCCAATAGATACCCACAGCTTTTTTTGTATTCCAAAAATGACATTGTTATTCCTTATCGAGATGTGGAAAAATTTATTCAACTTAGACGCGATCAGGGTATTCAGGTATCGTCAGTATGCTTTGAGGATGCCGAGCACGTTAAGATATACACCAAATATCCTAAACAGTACGTCCAGTGTGTGTGTAATTTTATTAGAAACTGCATGACTGTTCCTCCCCTTAAGATGGCTGCTAATTGTGAGAAATCCGAAAATGTGTATCGGAATTACCTTAAATACGATTAGATGGCACAACAGAAAGAAAAAAACTAGTTTCTTTAATGGAAAACTTTAAACTCAACGTAAATATTAAAAATTTAAAGCGCTTTATGTAGAATCAAATTTAAAAGTAATTAAAATAAAACATTTTCAAATATTTAATACAGGTTTATCAAAGAAAAGGGGGGGTGTATGCACGAACAACTTACCTTCTAAGTAAACCATGATTAAATCTTTACCTATTTGTGTGCTAGCGTAACCTCGGCCAACGCGCTTCGTTCGTATGGTAAATATTAATAAATATTATATGTTTCCGCTCTTATTAAAATCATATTTTTTCAGCGACAGATTAAGATAAATATAAAGCATGCTAAGAGTATTTTTTTTTTTTTGATTTAAGTGACATTTAGTACGAAGATCCAGATATATTACCGTAATATATGTGCCACAGATACACCAGGAAAATATTGTTCACCATGAATTTCTTATTTTTCTTGGCTCTTTCACTTTTTCAGACTTGCCTGGTGAGTTAAAGAATGGGAAAGGTTTGAAAAGCAATTTTATAAGTTACACGATACAAAAATATCTGCAGATCAATTTATTTCTTATCCCCCCGTTTCTGGCCATGTTAGTAATGGTAGGATACTGACAGGTTTCGCTAGGTGTTAATAGCAAAAATATTTTCCGCAAAATAAATCTTACCGTGCCTGCACAGGGTTCTGAAACATGTGATAGTGAACGTGCTTAATAAGTTTTGCTATATCAGTAGAAACTGGCATGCTAGCTAACAAATTTCAATAAAATAAAAATGTTTAGACGTAAATGTGTCGTAAATCAAACTTTTCCTTGTATACTTAAACCCGATCCCCTATTTTTTAGGTGTACGATCAATTTGAGATACAACAACAAAGAGGCCGACATTATTATTTATTTTTGAAATATGTCTAAATATTATTTCTTACACTTTCGCCACAGGAACCGAATCATTAAATCTTTATATCAGTTTTATTTTTTAAAATTGTGTTTTGTTATAGGTTGTGCGTTAGATTATTAATGTAATCGTCTAAATATTCGATATCAGAAATTAAAAAGTGTTTCTTTGTAATTGTCATGAAACATGAACGTAAAGATTTTGGGAATTATGTACATATGTAAAGAGTAAGCATAGACATTCTACAGATGTCTACGCAGCGAAAGTTGGAAAGTACAACTATAACACTCATATCGCTACCCTGTAGTTCCACAATTCATCGCTACTGAATTTATTGCTTAAAAATTGTGACATGCAAAGACAAATAATGTAGCTAAAAGGGACGGGGACGAGAAAAAGGAAAATAACAATAAGAGAACAAAATAGATTAACGGATTCCTTTTCTAAAAGGCACGCGCCATTTTTCACTTGCGATTTGATTTTTGTAAGAAGCATACGGGATTTTCATTGAGTGTTAGTTTCAAAAAAAAGGTAATAATTTTAAATTATTAAATGAAATGTTTAATTATTCCATGTAATGGATTCATTTTATAAGCAACAACAAATACAACTCAGAAAGGGGCTCACTTAGGTAAATTGTTTTAGTACATTTTTGTATGCTATGATGGTTCATTGATTAAACGGTGATGTAATAGGTCATAAAAATAGGTAAAAATTCATGAAAGAGCGATAAAGCGGGTGATGATTTGCCTGTTAAAATGCGCATAAACAGTAGTGATTAATAGAGATATGTAAGTTTGCGGTGGTTTCGTGGTGTTATGTGGTGTTTTTCTTAGGGATAATTTCCTAGGACAAGCCAGTGCTAAAGTCATCTCTAATTTTCATAATAATTGAGCGGTCATTAAGCGCTTGAGATTTATACTGGGTGGTGTTTCCTCGGTGTAAAGGTGGTGCAGGGAAATGTCTATTTTGTGCCCAACATGCTTAAAGTATTAATATATAAACTAAAGTGACGTTTTTGTAAATGCTACAAGAAGTTTATACACAGTTCTGCTAAATTTAACGAAATCTGACCTTTTGCAATGAGTTTTTGGAAAACAAACCACTGGGTGTTGCAATCTTTTGAATAAAGTATCTGCATAGCAAATTTATAAGACTAATAAAATTATTAAGAAATACGGCTGTTTGGCCGGTTTTCGGGCATTAGAGTGGGCGTGGAAAAATTTATAACGGGTATAAAAAATCTTTCAGTGTTTTTGACATGCAATATCTTTAATGTTTACTTTTTTTACTTACCTTTTAATAAATGAAATCATCTTATTGGCAAAAAAAAATTGTACCTTGGTACGAAAGTTTTATGGGAGTATTTACCAAAATTCAAAGGTCCAAAGGTCAAATAGCTTCTGTTACTAATTCACCGACTTGAAGGATTCATTTAATTTTCTGGAATTCACTGTACTTTTTTTTATAAAAATATCTGATGTTATGTGGATGTCCTACCACAATTTTGTATGACTTCCCTAACGTTAGCAGCGAGTTGTAAGCTTGCAATGATATGGAATTTATTTGTGGTTGTTCCTTTTCCCTTATTGCACTGATTCATCTACTATCACCTACAAAGCGTCTATGAAAACTTTTCATTATATCATACAATTCAATTTATTTTAGAGGGGGTAAAGTAGTATTTAGTAAAGGTATGGGAGGTTCTCATGTTATAAATACAAAAAAACGAAATATACTTAGAAGCATAGTTATGCATATTATTTCAAATTCTGTTATGTGCGGGAAATTTCACATCTGTTTAAATTCCAACCGTTCCACATAGAAAGGCTATAATAAATGAGATAATTTGTCTTTCACAAATACCATTTTAGTGCAACGGTCACACTTTAGGGCGTGTTGTCTTCCGAGTTGACTTAATGATATTTTGATATAAAGAACAAATGGGTGCGTCCAACCGTATTTTGCAAGTTGCCGTCTGCGTGTCCGTGTTTTCATTAATATGTTTTGTTATCGCGTTTTCCACACCCTATTGGCTGGTTACAGACGGTGGTTTACAAAACCCGCGATTCACAAACCTGGGCCTATGGGAAGTTTGTTTTAACAATTTCCAGGACATACACCGATTTTTTGACAATCCCTTTAACGGATGTTTATGGGTTTTCGAAGAGGAATATTACATCATACACGATTTCCTCCTGCCTGGTTTCTACATATCCGTTCAACTTTTTGCTACGCTATGCTTCGTAATGTGCCTCGTCGTTATACCACTCACTGCAGCATTTCTCCGCACCTCTCGCGATGATGACAGGTACATGGTGCTCCTGTTGGCGATAGGATCATGCCAGGTTGTGGGATCGGTCTTCGGATTTATTGCTGTGGTCATTTTTGGCGCAAAAGGAGATTCTCGGGATTGGATGCCTGGATGGCAGAACAACGATATGGGTTGGTCATTTGCTCTGGGTGTCGTTGGAGCTGTGCTGCTACTGCCTGCCGGTGTACTCTACCTGGTAGAAGCGCGTCGAGAAAGGTACAAGCGTCTAAACGAAATCAGTAATCGGGAGATCAGTGAATACGGAGATGAGTATTACCAGAACCAGGCCCCCCCCGCAGCGCTACCTTCTGCACCGTCGCCATATGAATCCTATTTTGCATCAGAGCCAAGTCGTCCACGAAGACCACAGCAAAGTAGTTCATCAAATTCCGCTGTACACGGAGGAATTCAAACAGATATATAAAATCAAATAGATTATGAATTTGAAGAAATTATCCGTCCATTTACACAGTATATTTTCGAATATTTACATATATTTAAGATGTAAGGTAGATTAATCATTTCACTAAATTGACTACTAATTTTTTAAAATGTATCGAATTCGAAGTTAATAAAAATTTGTCGAACTATTTTTTTTCTTTACCTTTTTCTTTCAAACTTTTTTTAAAATTAAAATGTGAATGAGAAGTAACCTGGCCTATTTAATTATTTTGCACAGCAAACCATGCAACAGCAACATGCAGTTAGCTGGCCACCAGTATCTGCCTCAAAATGTCATTTTTTATGTACTTTGTTGGCAGTTTTATTAAATTTGGATACGATTGATAAGAATCGGATTGGAATATCCTAATTAGGTTTGTTTCTGCTATTTTTATCTGTATATCAAAATGTTCAATATTTCTTTTATAAAATAACCATTGTAATTTTGGAAAGACTTCCCGATCCGTCCAAAAATGTATTGAATTCATACAAGAGTATACATACATATACATAATATAGGGTCTACTTTTAACATCCTTTTCAAGGAACAAGATAAAATGATATAGTCGAGTTCCCAGACTATCAGATACCCGTTCCCCAGCTAAAAATTAAACAATGTTCAAAAGTGTGGGCGTCACAGTATTGGGCTGTTTGTTGGCCTTAGAGTGGGCGTTCTAAAAAGTTGTTTGGCAAATAAATATAATTTACAAGACAAATAAAAAATGAGAAAATATCAAAACATTTTTCAAAAGTGTGTTTCCGACCATATAAAGTATATATATTCTTGATCAGGATCCGTAAGGCTGTCCGTATGAACGCCTCGATCTCAGGAACTACAAAAGCTAGAATATTAAAATTAAGCATGCAGATTTCACAGACATAGACGCAGTTCAAGTTTATTTCCAAATGTTGCCACGCCGTCCTCCCCTTGCCCTCCTTCCCTCACGCCAATCCTAAGCCCACAAACCGCCCAAAACTCACAATGCTGTGATATTTTTTTATTTTTAAATATATATTGTAAATTTCTAGAGATTTGCCAAAAAGCTTTTTGCCACGCCCACTCTAACGCCCACAAATCGCACAAACTCTCACGCCCAAACTGCATGCTTAATCTCAATATTCTAGCTTTTGTAGTTCCTGAGATCGAGGCGCTCATAGGAACATAGTGTCATAGGTGTCCGGACACACGGACATGGCCATATCGAATCGGCTTTTGATGCTGATCAAGAATATATATACTTTATATGGTCGGAAACGTTTCCTTCCAACTGTTATACTTTTCAACAAACCTAGTATACCCTAATAGTATACGAATAATGGCTATAATAGTAGATTTTATTATTTTTTTGGTAAAAAACAAACAAACAAAAAATCAAAAGTTTTTGCGTAGTAGTTGTAGGCGTCACTGCATTGCTTATCTAAAGTTTTTCCAGCTTTTATAGTTCCCAAGATCAAATAAAAGCGGTCCTGATTCTTTAAGCTTATCGGCTCGGTTGTGTATTCTGGTCAAGCATATACTCGTATTGTCGCAAATATACATATACTTTACCGTTGTACAAACATCTGACTGAAGTCAATATATCCCCTACAAGGTTACACAAATGTTAATCCATTTTCTATTGAGTACATATAGAGTTCCAGTAAATGTTGTACATCTTAGTTTTTTTTATTTAAAAATTAAATTATAAGCTAGATTTAGACATTTAATCATAATAACATATTCAGATTACGATATAGTAAAAAACTTTAAATATCAATAAATTTATTGGTGCAGCAGAGATTCCGTTGTGCGGTTTACGTGTGTGCCTGGGGCATTTCCTTAGAAAGTGCACATCTTAAAACTTATATAATCTCTATTTATTGTGGTTGGCGGTGAGTTGATTTCTCCAAAATAATTATAATTACTTAAGTATTTTACATCTTCCCATAGCTGGAATCTTTAACATTCAAACTCAATCTATGTACGTACTTTGAGTGCATGTAGCTGATTTAAGCTCATGCAGCAATGACTCTACATTGTTTGGTTCATTCACTGAAACAAAGTATTTTAGATTTTAAGACTTTTTACGTATCTTATATACATACAACATTTGAAAATATTCGAACAAACATCTGTAAGTCAATGAGAAAAATTGTATCTAGATAGTAAAATGTAGCTTTTTCATTGGAGCTGCAGTCAAAATGTGGCAAGGTAGAAGACTATTTTGATGGGTTTCGCGAGCTTGTAACTAAAAACACCAAATTTCGTATATGAACGACTTCTCGTTTTCGTCTAACGTTTCTATTTATAACTTACGACAAAGTTCTAGAAAAAACAACCACTTACATAAGTGCTTTGTGTACCCGCAAGCCAGTGTGAAATCTTGTTAAAAATGTTAAAGATCTTGATTCCAAATCAAGAAACAAAAATCTTTTCCAAGAAACTATTTCAGCATTCTTATAAGCAAGTTCTGCAACCTTGTATTGTTTTACGAAATACAAAAAATACCCCTTTTCGAGCTCCAACGAAATCGCAATGGCAAGTTAATAACCCGTAATCGTGCTTGGGCTATTTACCCTGTTTATCTGTAGTATCGGGATGCAAACAATTTCTCGTTCCTTGGTGCTAATCCGAATCAAAGTCAATCTCAAAATCGTTTCAACAGAAGCGGCTTGTTCTTTTCAGCAAACGCCGTGTTAATCCATTTAATGTCCGGCTTGGCAAAACGCACTGTCTGCCCCTCTCCGCATGAGTTCTCACCGGCGAATATTCCCTTGAGTCGGACGTTCGAGCCGCTGCCGCAGGCAAGCGCGCTTCCTACGTCGAATTGGCAAGAGTCAAACTTGGTAGCAGCACACACACTGCTGGAATCGGCACTGCACTCGCTGCGTGCTTGCGTCAAAGTATCGGTCACGTGCATTAGAGCGCCCTCTTCATGGACTGTTAAACGAAAAAAATGTTGAGTATCGAATCGGGAAAGTAATTAAAATAGCATTTTAGTGAAAGGGATAAAATAAAATGTGAAGTTGTGTGACTGTGAGTGCAGCTCAAACTTAAAAACAAACAATAAGGGAAGTTATATATACTCCTGCAGTAATAAAGTATTAAAAAAATTTTCTCACAACAAAACATATTTTCAAATAAGTAACCAAAAAATGTATCAAAATAATTACTGTTAAAATCCATTGCTCCTTTGAAAAGATATTAACTAAACTAGATTTTTGGGGGACATATGTATGAAAATTAATATTTTTGTCTCATCGAATTTAAACGTTAATTTATTGTGCTGAAATCATTTTACCTGTGCTGCTAAGTTACTCGATAAAAGAAACACAAGAATTAATTTAAAAATTCAAAACGGAAGAATTCTCGACCGTTGAGAAACTTCAAATAATAGATATATATTTCTCCGTCACCTGTTGGACTAAAGCTACATCTCCATTTTGCACATAGGCAATATATTAACCTTTATTTTAGGCATAATCATAAATTTTTTATCTGATTAAAAAATCTTTAAACATTTCAGAATTATTAAAAATTTCTTAGTTCCAACTTCCGTTGCGTGTACGGCATATCTACCGCTTTTTCTCCTGATTAGCCCATAATACCGTTGTTTTCTTAGCTCAATAAGATTCGGCTGTATCGAAACTACGCTTTTTTAAATACATGTAAAGCATGTAGAATACATGTAATGTAGAAGAATTCCAAAGTACGCGCGGATTTTACTCATTCAAATAAATGTCGATATTTTTGGCTGGGGGTAGATATCAACGATGTAACAACCATTGTTTCTCCCGCGATATTATTTCTTGCATTAAAATTCTTGCTCATATGGAAGGAAACTGAAATCTTTCGTCATCCTTAATTTGCTTTTGAAACTGAGTTCTCCAGTACATCGTAAGGCATTTCTTACACGACATTGCCTTGAAAATTAGTACTTACTAGATAACGCTTGCTTTCCCCAGCCGGACGTGATGCACTGCTCGGAATCCTTAGGGTCCTCGTCGCTTATGCAGATTGGCTGGATGTGGGATGCGAACTCCAAGCGTCTCTCGAGTCGGATAATGGCCAAGTCGTGGGCGTGTGTCGACGGATCGTAGTCGGGGTGGACGTCGATGGTTTTGACTCCAGTCAGCTGGAACGGCAGAGGCTCGTTCGTGCTGCCCAGCTCCCATTCACCAGCCTTGACTCGAATGTCGGCAACCGGAAGGCTAGGGGTTTTCAATTAGAGGGCGTTTGAAGAAACTAAAGACAGTTGGGACATACCCATTTACGCAGCTGGCGGAGCTCAAAACAAATTGGTCTCCGATTATAGCTCCTCCGCAAATAAGCGTCTTGCTTGACTCGCGCAAGATCATGGCTTGCCAGGGGATTTCGGCAAAGTTTGCATCCAAATCCTTTACTCCCGTGGGCTTTGTTCTAGAAAAGAAAGAGGTTAGCCGTTGCTCGGTTTAAGGAATTGGCCTGACTACCGCTTGTTCCTTGTCGCGCACACTCCGGCTAAGTTAACGGGCCAGGGGTCTACGTAGTTAGGGTCACGACAGCACTTGCCGGGAGAACCGTTCTCGGCCTGCAAACAGTCGGTAAGGGGCACACGGAAAGCCGCCTCCATAGGGGACAGCTCTACGGCGGTCTCAGAAAGCACTCCGATGGCATTGCAGAAGTTCTCAGAGGTGCACACTAAGGCTGAGGCGCACTTGGCAAAGTGCTTAGGGACATTAGCTGGCTGGGGCGTGGGAAAGATCTGAGGCGACAGCAGGTCCTCTCCGCGGTAGATTGGTTTCTCGTTTGATGGCTGCGGAGCGTGGTCAGGTTCGAACCGAGGGATCTCGTTATCGGCCGCAGGCGGCAGGTACTCGTTCGTAGGCCGGTGCGTCGGCTGAGGGCGTGGCTCCGGCCTCGGCCTGATTTGTGGAATAAGACTGCTGGCCGACTCAGTGGCCGGGGCAGGTGGCAAGTAGACTGGTCGTCGGCTCGTCTGGATGTTTTTGTATATGGGATGCTGTGTGGTGGAGGGCGGCAGATACTCAATGGTGGGACGAGAAACTGGCACCGCAGGCGTGGCTGGTGGGCGGAACGGCGCCTGGGTGGAGCGCACAGCGGGCACTGTGGGCTTCGTCGGCAGCGGGAAGGTCTTGTCCGGCAGGTTGAAAATATAGCCATCCTCCGTCAGCGTGGTCGAGGGTATGCGACAACAGATATTAGGCGCAGGGCAGCGATTGGGCTGAAAGTGAAAGTGAGTGGGGTTTAGAGAAGAGCCGCAATAGTCTGTTACGGCTGCCAATGACGCACCATTCCGCGACAACTTGATATGGCCCCCAGGCCAACAGCCTCTATGTACGGCTTATATGTGCCTATCCAAAAGTTCGAATCTCAAGTGCTACACACTATGGAGTTGGCTTAATAGTATCCGAAAAAATATTGCAGATTCATGGTGGAATACAACACACCATGGGCGGACTCGGACACCGTCTCCCTTCTATCCGTCTACTTCAGTACTGACATCTATACAATGGCATTGCCAAGTTTGTCGGTCTGCTGTTTTTAATTGAAATATTCAACATTTTAGGGTAATGCCATAGCCATGCGATGTCTATCCGATGCTATCTCAATGAAATTGTATACATGCACATGTACATTTATTCAAAGAAAATAGGTTCCCTTACCTAATAACGATCTATGCAATCATCGCACCTATTCTGACCATTTTGAAAGTGTGAGAAACAGAGTTGGTAGTCTTTCTGTATGGCAAGTTGTAGGCGCATCTAGTCGTCAAATAAATACTCGATACTTGATACTTTGTATCAAGCAGATGCGTATTGATTTGATTTAAACTAAAGCACTTCCGTTTGCCAAGTCCCAGCTCGGCCTTATTTAAGTTCATTAATGGAAATTACCATTATTCCTCGCCTGTGGAACTTGTCTTTGTCATTCATTTGTGAAGATCATCATTAGGCACAGCTGCCGGCTCTCTGCCTCAATTTTGTATCATTTTAGAGTTAATCAAATGTTATCTTAATGTAGACATCATTCAGGCTGGTGCTTTGTGCCTTCCGCGCTCATGAAACTTATATAATACATGTTATTAATAAGGACGGCCCTGCGAGAAAGCAGGACGGAGAAGCGCATTTAATTTTGATCAATGACAACAAGCTTTTCTGAGAGGCGAAATGCCGTACAACACCAATTTTGCCCCTGAGCGGCGATTACCTGCCAGTGCTCAGTGGTCAGTGGTCAGTGGCCATTGCATAGCTTATGATCAATCATGTTACGCGAAGATAACAACTTCGACAACAAAAACCTCGAGCTACTACTTGTGTACCAGCGACAGCTAAAATATGTAGTCACCAACGACAAGCGCGCAGGGAGACCCCAAAATGTTTTTTATAAATGTTGTTGCTGGCCATACCAGACAAGTTGTCCATTAAGGTTGTTGTTAATGTCCCATAGATTGTCTGTCGCAATTTGTTAATAATGTTGCAATTACTCGAAGCATATATGTACATATATATTATAAAAATGTATAATTTAAAGCCATTACCAAGTTCAATGGATTCAGCTGAAAAGCAGAAGCGGATACTTTGGTGATAGGCCGGGCCGTTGCTGCCTTAATGGCTTGGGGAAAGGTCAAGCCGTGACGACATCTCCAGCGGCGAAATTTATGACACTAATGCTTCACTGCACCACACAAGACTATTTTTATGACTGCATTAAGGCGCCTCTAGCACAACACTAAATTGCCTAGTCTTACTCCTCACCTCTCTACTGCACACTTTTTATAAACCTATAAAGTGGACGCTTCTAAGTTTCCGTTTTACGAGTGGTTATCTTGGTACGGGCCAAGTTTAATCGAACCGAGCCGCAGAGTTGAAGAAGCTTCTAAATACCACGCTCGGCCCTGAAGTACAAGTGCTGGCAGGTCGCCAGCCAGTTGTGTTAAAAGTTCGGTGTTAAACTCTTTTGTTTATGCGTCATGCGGTGCAGTTTATGCTTAATCATCATTAACGTGGGCGTAAGCTCGGTAATTTATGACCAAACTAGATACCACATCTGCAATGCGTTTCGTTGCTCTATCCGAAAACTAATTAATAAAAACCCAAATCAAGCGGGCAAGATGTCACTGTAAGCTATATATTATTGTGCATCACGGATTTATGTTAATTAAAACAAAGTCGCAGCCATTGATAGTGTATCAGAACGTAACAATCATTGTCGATTAGGAGCATACAAAGCTTATAAAACCATAACAATTATAATGACCATAAAACACGCATTAGCCAAAGGAAACCAAAAACCCACCAACAAAGTCAACCTGCACGACTCGAATAAACGTTAAGAGCTGTTAACGACTTTTCGACAACCGTATGAGCAAGCGCGCAACCTCGAAGAGAACTCGAGCGCGACCTAGACCTTGAGTTAGCGCTTGAGTTTTTCGTCTGCATGCTAAGCGCTCGACATTCCCGCCTTCTGGCTTTCCTGCTTTGTGAGCCTACGTGCCTTTAGTTTCCGCCCTGTTACAGCTCTTGGCATGGAGTTGGAATCTATGTATAGCTCCACTCTGTTCTCCAATTCTGCGGAACTCTGTGACATCTTTGGACTTTTTTAAGAAAACTTATTACTAAGCTAGTAACGACGGAAACTAGCGAACAAATACTGATTCAGCCATGTATTTTACAGGCACACTTCCATAACTCTTTTACTCTATATCTCTAGAAATAGTGTTTATTGCCTATACATACATAAGTCAAACCGAAATTCTTTTAGCTGTAATTAAATCAGCAGCTTATATTCGTATTTTAATTTAATACAATATATATATAAGATTAAGGTTTAAAAATTCTTTTAAATTCCCTAAAACTCAAATTAAAAAAATGTTAGGTAATATAAGAATCAGTATTAGTATCTTTAACTTAAGCAAAGGCAATTGTTAAAAAAAATAATATAATATCTGAAAGCAATGGTTTGACTTAAGCCGGGCCTTTTAAAATTTCGCAAAATTTACATTTATTTCTATAATTCTTAAACATTTTATTTTCATGTTGTTGTTTCATCAAGAGCGCCTCCTTATCTTATCGTATTATTGTACAGAATTTGCAAGAAAAATACCTATAGTCGGTGAAAATACGACAAAAATACACATTCTATACTCAAAATAATGAATAACATACTTATTTTCAGGCGAATAACTTTTTTACCTTTTAAGATCTGCAAGAAGTAAATTAATTAAAATAGAAAACAAAAGACTATCACGGCACTTCTATTGTGTTTTATACGCAATATGACTTCAATTTATACCAGTTACTCGTAGAGCAAAAGGGTATACTAGACTCGTTAAAAAGTATGTAAAAGGCAAAAGGAAACGTTTCCGACCATATAAAGTATATATATTCTTGATCAGCATCAAAAGCCGAGTCGATCTGGCCATGTCAGTGGGTCCGTCCGTCTGTTAGAATGAACGCCTCGATCTCAGGAACTAAAAAGCTAGAATGTTGAGATTAACCATGCAGCTTCCAGAGACGTAGACGCAGCGGTAGTTGGTTACCAAACGTTGCCACGCCCACTTCAACGCCCACAAGCCGCCCAAAATTGTCACGCCCACACTTTTAAAAAATTAAATATTTTTCCACTTTTTATATGTCTAGTAAATTTCTATAGATTTGCAAAAAAACGTTTTGCCACGCCCACTTTAAAATGGTAAATGCTTGTAAAATGGGCTCTAAATCATAATAAGTATGGCAAGAATTAAGTGACCTTGCCTGCATTCCTAGCGTTTTCATTGCTACAGTATCCAATCAATACATCCTAGCAGCGCCGGCTGGGGCGTAACTATAGTCATTTTATCGATACCATAAATTGATGCTGCCCTCTGCTGAACGAAGGTACACTACAATGTGGGCTATGAAGCATGCCCCGCAGTTGACGTTAATACGCGTGTAACTAAGCGAATTGTGGGGATCGTGCAGGGCGTAAATAATGGGGTCCTGCAAGAGGGAGCTTCTTGATGCCAGGCTGGAAGAGCTCAGAGCCAAAGAATGCAGTTCAACTATTCAACGATTTTATTGAGTTTTCAGAGGCACCAGCGATGACAATGCTGAACGTGCAGCTGTTGCTTTGCCGCCTGCTCACTTTTTGCCAAAATGTTCACTTGTTGTGCTCATTTTTTCAAGGCGTTGCATGCAGCAACACAGCACCGTACGCAACTGACCCGTTTTTCCGGCATGTTGTAAGCAAATTATGCAATTGCACTCGCCTGGTGAAAACCTGAGATCTCTCTGTTGAATTTCTTATCGCCTCTCTGAGTATTGTCCTCTCCTATCGCGCTCCATGCTGAGCCGATGAACCGACCTACCTTTTGCTTATGTGCACTTATAAATACATACAGCGGAACATGGACTGCATATACAGCTAGGCTGTAATTTAACACTTTTTATTCGGATGCGTGCAGTACTTGTACTTCAACGGCATTCCAGTTTGATTGCTGCTTGCTGGCGTCAAGTTCGTTACCACTGCCACAGTTATTTTAATTTCGTATTCGCCCTGAAGCACAGTTAAAGCCGGGGGGCTGGCAACAGATTCACTTTAAGACAGCCCATATCAGCGGCCAGCTCAAACATACTTGACTATAGGCATTCAAGTACTTTTGGGCCTAAAGGATATCAGCGGACAAAACCTATTGCGTGGCAATAAGCTGTCGGTGCCGTTTCTTTACGATGTTCCCTTGCGCACCAACGGGCTTGTGAAATGGACTGCAATAGTTGCGGTCGAGTTTGATTCCGTCATAGCCGGATAGCGTTGTTTCCGCTGAGGTAGCTTCAATTGTTTCGGCACTGGGACATCGTTAAAGCAGCACAACTACTTTGGTATTGAAATGAAGCTATTGAAATGAAAAGCTGAATGAATGGGAAAACCCTCCGTACTAATGATGCCGAACATTAGTTCCCCCTATGGATTGCTCAATTCTCTTGATGGGAAAACGTATTCTGACCGCCTACGGTCATGCGTAAAAACTTACTCCTTGCTTCTTTACGTAGTTTATGGCGCTAATTTCGCCGTTCCGACAGTTATCCGGAGTCACACAGTCGGAGTCGTGGGCACAGGTTGCCACTGGCACGGGAGTAGTGGTTGTTGTGGTGGTGGCAGGCGCCCTATAGGTACAGCAGACATTGTTTTCCTGATCACAGTTCTGGGAAAAAAGAATTCAATCATGGTAAGTAATTTTAAAGTGTTGTAAGCATAGCATACTAAAGAGATATGGTGAGTATATATTTAATCTTTTTTACAGTTTTGCAAAATATTTCTAAAGCAGTTTTTGCGAAAGCTTGGCAATTTTAAGTATATGAATGTGATCTTGAGCAGCAATGCTTATAAAATATTTATAACAATCATATGAGGGCTTTAGTATCATGAACATGCCTGTCAGCAAACTAGAGCAACCGATCCTTGACTAACTGCGAAATAAAGCTACGTGTGCCCATAAATGTCCAAAGATGTCATCCAATATTTTTTAACGCGATCCATATTGCCCTCAAAAGTTTCATAACCCCTTCTCGACGTCGCAACAATGAGGGATTCAATAGAATAAATACCGCCAGCAACCAAGCACATTATTCCCACCATAAGCCACGGTAGTATGTCTTGGGTTGCGAAAAGGTTAGACATTGAGGGCAACATGAACTATTGCACGTATGTCTGTATATGTTAGGAAATAATTGGAAGGCATTTAGGGAAAAACTTAAGAGTCCCGAACTGGACTTCCTACTGGATATATATCCTCAAGCAAATTTTTACTCGTCATTTTAAATATGAAATTATTTAACAAAAAGGTTGTATAAACTTCGGTTTGCCGAATCAAATAATAATAATAATGTTGAATAATAATGACTAATAATACCTTGATTTTTTCAAATATACATTTAATATATTTACATTTATAGCTGAGATTTTTAACATACAAATTATTATTGTTACGGATCCTGTTTATATGTCCTTTATATACGACATAATGTTGAATAAATGTTTATACGTGTTACTCGTAGAGTAAAATGGTATACTATATTAGTTGAAAAGAATGAAACTATGGTACTGCTTGGAACTATTAAAGCTAGAAAATTGAGATTAAGCATGAAGCTTCCAGAGACATAAAAGCAGCGCCAGTTGTTGCCCCATGTTGCCAAGCCTATTCTTATGCCCGTCCAAAAGCCGCCCAAAACTGCCACGCCCACACTTTTGAAAAATCTGCTGACATTTTTAATTTTATTATTTTTTTTCCAATTTCTATCGATATGCCAAAAAGAATGTTGAACTTCTCGTTCGCACTCCAACTAGCTGAGAAAGGGGTATCTGATATTCAAGGAAATCGATTATTTTTCGTTCCTCTTGTTTATTTTTGAAAATATACAAATCACATGGTATTTTCAATGAAATATCTGTAGACATACTTTATTAATCACTTTAGAATAACATCAAAGTAGCATCACATCCCCAATGATTAAGATTATTTGGCCAAAAGGTCACCAAAGTTTACCACTTGGATAAATGATGTGCTAAGAGGTGGACAGCCAGATTTTGGAGTCAGTGGCCGCCGAATAGATGATTTAAGCTGTTGCATATGCATTGAACTTTGCCGCGGGTATGCATTTGGTACATTTAGTTTTATCAAATCTCAATGGTCAACTGACATTTAGCAAATGAACAATTGCAAATAAATAACTCTCAGAGTGTCTGGTCAGAGATCAGAAGCCACATCAGTAGCTTAAGGCGGGGTCGCCTTGAGGAATTTGCAGCCCAACAATTTACTGAGCAGTTTCCCATCGGGTGTAGATGGCAGACAAGAAACGTCTGTCCAATAAAGAAGAGTTTAAAAACCAGTTCAGATCGCAGTTTCGGTAGAAGTGGCACTCCATATATCAATCAGTCTCTGAATATTACAAATTAATCTGTCTAAATCCTCTTATTTATTTCGGTTTGAATATCTCCCCAAGCTTGAAAATCTAAAATCGGAAACCCATTTGAATGTTCTGAGTTTTGTTTTGAAGCACGACCTTGACTAATGAAGATCTTTGGCCTGAGCGTGAGTTGAGCTAAATGGGCTTTAAATAGCATAGATATATTTACGAAGCAATGACTTCGGGCTTTGATCGCAGAAGACCAGCTCTAGTGGTTTTGGAAAGCACTCAGATCTTGTTTGTGTGCTTTGAAATGGTTTCTTAATTAAATAGCTGCGATCGAGCCCATGCATGGCATTTTATTTAAAGTGCCAGCATATTTGAGCCCATGCGGTTGAACTGTTTGGGGCAAGTGCTTCAACCGAAACAGTAGGTTGGCACATCCGTTTCCACGGTCCCGGAACTGCTAGTTCGTTTGTTATACATATATGTGAATTTGAGAGCGTTTTTAATTACCGCTTTGACATCATCAGTTTGTTTTGTTTTGAAGATTGCTTATATAGCGCGTATTAATAGTTAGCCTTCCGATTCTATCAGTTAGTCGTGAGTTTCCCTTACTTTTGTTTTATTCTTACTACACATTTTGCAATTACACAGTTTTTCCGACGAAAAGGCATCTAAAGGGTTTTTCGCAAAAATTTTACAAAATATTAGGTACCCTGGTGGGTTTTTTCGGATAGCGTTATTAATTTCTTTTATATTTATTATACATTTTTTTGTTGAACCGATAGCGAAAGATAAATATGTCGAGTGTCAGTTAGTTAATTTTCTCCATAGAACATGCTGGTTCAACACGACCCAGAAATTAATATACCCTCGGACTTCAAAACGGTCTCATTTGGTTAAAAATTTGCATTCCTTCCATCGTCTATTAGTTGGATAGGTTCTTAAAGTATTTACCGCAAACTCTTAGCAAGATCGTTATAACGGAAGGGGAAATATGTTGACGAACTGCCCAATTTAGGAAGTTTACCAACATCAGTGTCGCTGACTTCTTGTTTTTCTGTATACACACATGCGTGATAATGTGTTTTTAGCAGGGCAGTAAACACGAACTTCGCTTTTTATTCGATTTTGGGCCATTACGAAACTCCCCGTCCCTACGGACTTCGGTCTACGGACTGGACAGCATGTTTATATGTATGTGGGCTGGTATTTCGAACCTTGGTAATGACAAACCGGAAAATAGCGGTAAATGTGCCATGCAACTCAACCCACCGGCCACCGGCCACCGGCCACCAGCCATCATTAAGCCAATAAGCCATTAAGCCAACAACGTCAGGAGCAAATCAGAAAATGCAGATCAGGCAAGCTAATCAAGCAACAGCAACGGATGAACGCATTTGCTTAGTTTTTATTTTCTGTTCCGGGAAAACCCGAAATTAATATTCCAAGTGATCCAGTAGACGAAAAAGCAAATGGGCGAATACAAGTTTGCCCGAGTGTAAAAAGCGTTTCAGCGTTTTACTTACTTGAATCTTGGGTAATTGCTGGGTGAAAAATCCGTTCAGGCACTGACCATTGCGGACGCACTGCTGACCGGGAGCGCACTTCAGAAACTCCTTGGGAGGCAGATAGGTTGGGCCCTGGAATGGCGACGCTTGCCTGCTGATGATGGCGTGGTTGAGGAACACGTTTGTCGAGGGATTTACTAAAAGGTGGTTCTCCTTTTGATCCTTGATACCGTTTTGGTACTGGCCGTTAAGAAACATGTTGGCCTGGTAGTCACCAATGACAGAGGCGAGCACTGCCAGGGTAATGCATAAGCCGAGCTGCTCCCTAAACTGTGAAACGGACATGGCTTTCCGACTCTCTGGATCTAAGGCTGAAGAAATCTGGGGAAATATAGACGTGGAAACCAATTCAATTACAGATAATCAAGCATATTCTAAGAATATCAAGAAAAGAATTCTAAGACTTCCGATCCGAGTTGACATTTCGTCACCACCTTAATGCAATCACGCTATGATGAAATAATTTCTCAACGGGATTTTACGAGTTCCAAACAAGTCCGTGCCTCAGTCTGGAACCCTAATTGCCGAGACTATAAAGGAATTTCAAAGATTAAGTCTTTGGTGCCTTGTTGCTCGTATGGTAACCTGTTTTGGGGAGATCCCCCAATCTCTGCGATCTCATCTGCAAAAACTGTGGTTAGCGGCTGGAAAACGAAGAATTGAAGCGTCAGTTTTTGACGGCGGTTTGTGATTGATATAATGAATAGTTGCCTGAATGAGTTGTACCACAGTAAATCGATAATGAAAGACAGTAAAAGAGCTGCTTAAATTAGCATATTATTCTTCGACAAGTCCGTGACTAAAAGCTAAAAATAGTAAAAGCCCAGTCCCAAGCAATAACAACAATTTGAGAATTTGCAGGTTTTTACCAAGCCGAAATTTGCATAAAATATTTTCGGACATATTTGGCAATATTTTAAGATTTCTTATTTGAGTGTAAGATTTAGAAATTTCTGCAACATTTTCTACTTTCTATTTTAAGCTCTTAGAATTTATGGACTACAAATATTTTTATAATTGGCTCGCGGCATGGTTTATTAAGTATGAGAAGTTTCGCGAGCAAGAGATTAAGACTAATAACTTAGGTAACGAACTTTCTTAAAGCAGCAATTATAACGGTTGAGAAATTTTATTAAAAAGCCGTTGAAAATGAGGGGAATCATTGAGTTACTTTGACAAATCTAAATATGAAACAAGAACGATACCCGTTACTAAAAGCCTTATTTCACTTTGAAAAATGCTATTAATATAAAGGATTTGCCTTCAATTGCCCAATTCATAGCGCAGATTACGATCCCCAAGAAACATCCGGTTGTAGGCTTACCTCTATTATCAAACCAGGCAACTAATGGATGTCATATTCAGGCATCAAATGAGCAATGATTTTGTATAATTTTTAGAATTGATTTTATGTGCGAGTGGGAGAGTAAGGTATTACGCTGTTAGTGAACGCCCATGCAGTTACACACACATCCAGAAGTCACGTGGGAAATATTGCTTTATGTGTTATCAGCATTCAGCAAAAATATTTAGCAATTAAACTTTGGATATGTAGCTGCATACGGCTTATAGCGATATCTCTTAAGTTGGACTTTATTCGCAACTGGCTATTCTGTTCAAATTATAATATCAAACAAGCTTTGGCACCTTAAAAAATCCACGAACCAAAGGGGGGTTGCCACCTCAGCAATTCCGGAGCCAAACATATGACGTAATTTGAGAATCCACCAATTCTGGTTTTTCAACTGATTTAAAAAATTTGTAAAACACGGATGAAGTTGCTGCGGGACTTTTAGTACCAAATAAAATATGCAATACTCCGGAATACAGGCAAATAGCTTAAAAAAGTCACCGTGGGCGGCATTACGCATAGCAACATAGAGCCAAGGGAAGTGTGCGGTGGGATAAAAATTGCAGATTCAGGCCTTGTTGCGGTTTTGACGAATATATATGTATATGTACGTCATTTGTTAAATTTAGATTGCTGTCAGTTATTCAAAACATACAATTTAAGTATAAAGTATACAATTTAAAGATGTTCCGATAATGTGCATTTTGCAGTCGTTAAGGACAATTGCTTGTTTATAAGTGCAGAGGTACTTATTGTACTTTTGTTTTAAGCTGAGGAGCGTTTTATCTGTTATTTCTGTAAGGCCGGGTAGTACAACGAAAAATTAGATAATGAATACTAGGAGTTAAACATCCAGAAAATTGCAATTATAAGTTGGAACCCTTTAAAGGTTAAATACCGGTTCAATACAGGTATGGAGGTACAAATTATGAAACTAACAAAACCCAAATACTAAATGTCGAGCAGGGGTAATATTGGGCACGCCCAAAAAACCGTCCAAAAGTCTCACGCCTACACTTTTAAAACTGTTTTAATTCTCGTGTGTTATTATTTCTCTAGATAGTTTCAATCGTCCGAAAGTAAAAAAGCTGTCATGCTCACAATCTTCAAAAATATTGTTCATTTGGATTTGCTTATAATTTACTTTCCAAGTTCTATCGATATGCCAAGAAGATGTTGACATTTATTTTCCGCCGGAACACTTGAAAGTTTAATGGAAAAATAATAAATATGTAATATGAAAGACACATTGTTTTTCTTCATATTTTTTCCCCCAAAAATATATAATTAATTTAAAAAAAATATATATATATCTCTAACAGCAATAAATAATAGTTTTTGTAATTGGCATGTCAAAATTTTAATTTTTAGGTATATCAGTTTATAACCTTATAACCTTTAGTCTGAAGTTTTCAACGCAGTGAAAGAATATATATATTAGTATTAACTGCCGAGTCCAAATAGCCATGTCCGTTACTACGCAAATTACTCTCAGCCTTAATGCTATCTGCATGAGATTTTCCCAAAAGTCTTCTTCATATTGCGTATGATAAATATATGATATCATACCATAAAATTTCGTTTAAAATTTGACCAAAATCTGACGACTGTATCATATAGCTCCAATAGGAATATTAAGAGCAAAATAAAAAAAAAATAAACTACAAAATTGGCATTTGTAGTTTTTAAATATAAGGTATTCAAATATACATACGTATGTATACAAAATACGTCAGTTTTCTACCTGTTACATACATTTACTCTGCGAAGAACGGGTATAATGGACACATTTTTAAATTAACTTACAATTTTCAGTTGATCTAATTTTGCTATAAAACGCTTATGGTGAGTACATGTACCTCCTATTTGAATAAATCCATATATTATCGAACTAATTTGTTAATATGAACTATTCTAATAAAGATTAGAATTAGATTAGATCGAAAGTTATATGAATTGAAACAGACCTAACAAAATATTTAAATAATGAAAAACAACCTGTTGTGTTAAACAATAAATAATAAATTATACAATATATATATACAATATATTTATATACTATATAAAATGACTCCCAAATGAATCTTTTTAAGGGCAACCGGTCCCAAAATGATTTGTCAACCATGCAAACTGAATTTTGATGTGGCTAGTTCAGAGCCTAGTGGTTCTAATGGTGCTGTGTTGTCTGCTTACTGCAGTTTGTGCTGCATTTCCGTGGGCGCTTTCCACATAAATTAAAACTGCACATTTTTGTGTTGGCGCATTTGGCAACAATTCAACAAAACAGTACAAAACAACAAACAGCAAAGTTCAGATCGCATCACCAACAAATAAATTTCCACCAAGCTAAACACAATGGACGGTGGCAACCAAATCCGAAGTCGAAATGGCTGCACAAACTGACGGACGGGCGGACGGATGTAGCGACTCGGCAACCTCGGAGCAGAGACAACTGAAACTGAATCAATGGAACTATCCATCAATCAATCAACCGCAAATGAATTTAATTTTCAACCACAAAAGGCTGCGGCTACGACTGCGGCTGCGGCTGCACAAGTAATAGCCAAACAGCCCAATTGACCTGGATGCATTGCGGCATTTTCAAATGGAGCTCGCCTGGCAGTCCACTGCTGCGAGGAGTGTCCTTTAACATTTCACACTTCAACCGCCGGTCGGGCACTTAGGTAATAAGGTAAAGAACTAAGTCCGGTCCAAATCCCTTCCCGGATGTGCGCCGCAGCTAACGATTACACTGTATCACTGTCGCCTGTCTGTTTCTTTTCTTACACTTATGGGAATCCAAATCTTCTCGGACTGGAACTCGAGCGCGCGAACGAACAACTTGAATATGATTGTGAATATTTCTCCGAGATCGTTTGTTTTATATGTGCCCAGCAAAGCCAACCGCAGCGCGTCGCAGAAGCTCCGCAGCCGACGTCTGCATCAGAAGCCGCAGTCGAGGCTGCCAAAGATGCGAACGCGAACAAGTGAATCACTGGGGCCTCGCCGCTGCGCTGCCCGTCTCAGCAGATGAGTCAACGTCTGCGTTGGCACCGTTGAAGCGTCGACGCCGGCGCAACGCTCGTGCTCTCCGCATGTTCACTTTCGTTTGGTGCGGATGTTGATCTTGGGGCTCTGCAGTCTCACCACGAAGTCTCTGAAGAAGCGGCAAAGCTTCAGGCGGGTCTCTGCGGGCCTCAGTCCGACGGAGCGGTCGGCTCAGAAGAAGTCTTCCGCTCGTCTGATGGCGCGGCTTTATTTGTCTTAAGCATTCTAGGGGCTTTACATTTTTAGTAGGGCTATTTCGGGCTCTAGTGGGCGCTATTACTAATTAATTGTGGGTTCAGAGTCTGGTTTCGGGCCTTAGAGTGTGATTTAGCTCTCGCATACAAAATGTTGGCTTATAGGTTGAGAGTGTTCGCAAATGATTCCGAGGTATGCAAATAATTTAATTCACCGTAAAACATGAAATTCTTGGTAGTCGTCACCAAATGGTTTCTGTCGAACCATACACATACACATGTATACATATGTATGTATTGTATGCATGTGCGCGATTAAAATGAAATTTACAAGAGCAGTATTTAATTTTAATTCAAACATACCTTGAGGGGTTTTTACGTATGTGCATGTCACGAAAAAAGTTCGAGTTTTGAAAATGTTTTTTTTGTGTCTTAAGAAGAATGAAAAACAAAATTGAAAAGTTAGGAACCTTCGATCAAGTTATTAGGAAAATAAAAAACAAAACAAGAACGGAAGCTGGCTTCGGCACCCGCAGCTTATGTACATATCTATATACATATCCTTCCCTTACGTATGTATATATTTAAATTAAACTTATGTACAAGGTATACCGCATGAAATCATTTAATCAAAAATAACGAAGCTATGATTTCTTTTCTATTATTTTCGAATTATTGTCCGAATTTGTATATAGGAGCTAATATAGCCATCCGTGATTAGTGATCCATGATTAAAGTAAATTATATAAAATCCAAAAAATGTTTCATACCGAATATAAATATTATATTAATATTAATAATTAAATATAATATTAATTATAATTAATATAATACATGCATTCATACATATGATATAGTAGTCCGAGCAGGCTGGCTCTGACTTTTGGGAAGTTCATGCCAATATGTAGCTTTAAAACTGCTTCACTCAGTTGACTTCTGACTAATATCAATATACCCTATGCAAAGGTATGTATGTATAAAATCAACGAATATGTATAAAGTACTACATATCAAATGAAATGTCTTAAGGTCGTGTAAAATATCAAGGCCCATCTACGGCATACACAAAGCGAAGCAACTCAGGGCTCTATTGACACAGTCTGAACATGAGATGCATTTCTACAAATAAATAAGCAACAGTATCCATACATATGTATGTATATGTACAAGCTGTTTATAGTTTGACTTTAAAAATTGTTTAAATCATGTAAATGGATGTAATAAAGAGTAAATGATATTTAAAAATAAAAAAAAAACACCACTAAAATATTGTGACTACTCTTGAAATTTTTTGTGACGAAAAATAATCACTCAATAGAAACATCTATTATTTTTGCTTCTTATTTGGAATTTAAGTAAGCACAGTGTCCACAGACATGTTATATTGCATAATGCATACATATTTACCCGTTACTCGTAGAGTAAAAGGGTATACTAGATTCCTTGAAAAGTATGTAACAGGCAGAAGGAAACGTTTCCGACCATATAAAGTATATAATATATATTCTTGATCAGGATCAATAGTCTGTCCGTCAGTCTGCCCGTCTGTCTGTCCGTATGATCGCCTTGATCTCAACAACTACAAAAGCTAGAATGTTTAGATTAAGCATGCAGCTTCCAGATACATGGGCGCAGCGCAAATTTCCAAATGTTGCCACGACCACTCTAACACCCATAAACCGCAAACAACCGCAACATTTTTGAAAAACGCGATATTTTTTCACTTTTTAATATATCTTGTAAATTTCTATAGATTTGTCAAAAAAAACGTTTTGTCACGCCCACTCCAAAGATCACAAGCAGCCCAAAACTGTTACGCCCTCACTTTTAATCAATTTTATATATTTTTTTTTTCCCCCACTTTTAAAGGATATTTCAGAAAATTTTTAAATGCCTCGTTTGCACTTCTACTAGCTGAGTAAAGGGTATCTGATAGTCGGGGAACTCGACTAAAGCATTCTATCTTGTTTTATAATACATATTTAAATACACCAGTCTGTTCATTAAAATTTCATTCGGAGTTAAAAGTTTAAATTTGAAATCTGGGCAAAGTTTATACACGATATACATATGTTATAACACTATGTCACACCAAAAAAAAGTTTGCACGATTTGAGGGAGCTTAATAAAACTGTCTTACATAAAAAAAGGTAACCTGATTTTGATGGCAATTCTGGCAGTTATGTATATGTAAAAGTTATCGGACTTTTTTTACTAGGTAATTCGTAATGCTGAAGTCCTAAAAATTCTATACCTAGAAAAGGAGATTAAAAAATGGTGAAAGCCTAAATGATACCCGACATTAATAGGAATTTTCTAATTAATCCTAATTTTCGAATCTGTATAAACAATTATATTTTATAAAATTGCTGTACACTTGTCTGTACTTTTACTGAACCTAAAACTTCAGGCAAGAAGACTTATGTAAATATCAAGGTTTTGTTTTTTTGGTACCGTGTCCGAATTTAATTGTTGTTGCTACAACAATTTCAATCTGATAATATTTAGAATTGGAAATATTTATTGAAATTTGGAATATTGATTGAAATTAAGTAGAAAAACGATAAAGAACGTTAGAGTGAAGTTCCCGACTATTAGATACCCGCTACTCAGCTAGTGGAAATATAGATTTAAACTTTTTTTTTTGAATATCGATAGACATTGGCAAGAAAACTCAATAAATATAAGATCTAAAACATTTTAGAAACTTATGGCCGTGACAGATTTTTGGTAATCTGTGGACATTGGAGTGGGCCTAGCCAAAATATTTTTAGCATAGAAATTAGCAAGTCAATAAAATAAAATTAATAAAATCGAAACCTTAACCAAACCTCAATTTGTGGGCGTTCAAGTGGTCGTGACAATGTTCTAAAAAAAACTTCCGCGACCTATGATTTCTATCTGCATGCTTAATCTGAAATCTCTAGCTTTTTGTTCCCGAGTTATAAGCACTTCAAAGGTATTGTCAACGACAGCTGCAATGGAATTATATCCTAAAAAAATTGCGTTTTAAATGTTATCACCAAATGAAGTTACTCATAGAGTTAAAGGATATACTAGATAAATGAAGAGTATATGACAGGTAAAACTAGCTTTATAACACGATAACACTGCCATAGTAGATCTGGCCATTTCCGTAGTTATAGACCTTGTGACTGTTTAAGCTTCGAAACGTGAAACCTTTAAAAGCTAGAACTTTGATATTAAGCAATGACGTTCATGTTTCTTTTAATCCCAGAGCTTTCTTAAATGTTTTGCTTTTTTCTATTTTATTTTTTGTGTTACCAATTTTTAAGGAGCATTGTAAGATTACCCACAAAAATATATAAAAATCGTTTTTAAAATATGCATTGATAGGCACTTCATTTGTCAAAATCCAATAAAACGTTCCCGATATGAGGCGTAATTTTAGAGTCCCGAAATAATTTTTTTGTGGTAAGCAGCTTAAGAAAGAAACTTTAGTTCCACCATTTTTTGACAAATACTGTTTAGCGAAAATCGCATGTTTAGAAAAAAATATTGCTATAATGACTTAATTTCCCACTACTATAATTCGGAAACAACTGAGAGTTGAGACATGCGACTTTTTTTAAGTCCTTTAAATTTCTTAACTCTTTACATTCCCCAACTCTTTATGTATACCAAGTAGTTTCAAAACGTGACTTTTCGAAATATACAAATATATTTCTCGAAAAGCTTTTAATATCAAACGTGCTAAATATTAAATGAGGATCGCACTCTAAACATGCAAAAGTTTTCATATCAACTTTCGTGGCGACTCTACATTTAACTAAATAAATGTGCTATAATTTAATCAAGTTCACATAACTTAATATCGATATCTTACATTTCGCAAAGTGATTTTTTAAAACCGTTGGGGAGTCTTAAGAGCTAGGAAATTTAAAGTAGTATACCTTTTTGAATTTAATAGGCAATCCTTGGGGTCGTATTCAACCAAAAAAGTAAGAAAAATAAAAGTTCTTTGGCCCACACTTTTATATAGTATTTATAGATAATGGGTTTATGAACGACATTTAACATAAAAACATAAACATAACATAAACGACATTTACAAAAAGACGTAAAATTAAAGTTCCTGATTTCGATGTGTTTATCAACGCAAAAATATTTAGGACTCTAAAAAACCGGCTTATATCAAGATTGTTTACTTTGCAAATTTCTCAATAATCTTAGGAATTGCTTTGAATGGGCAATTGACACGTAAATTTAATAATACCTATTAAATAATTTTGGCTCTTAATTTTCAAATGATTACCTTTTCACTTTCAACCTTTTTTCTCCTGAGTTATCTTAATATTGTAGGTTCTTTGTGTATATTCTACATATGTACATATTTTAGTATCACATTGTCCTGGTGCGTTGCGTCACTACTTCGTAATAGGAGAAAAATTAAATAAGTAAAAAACTTTTAAAAATATCATAAATAAATAAAAGAGACAATTTTTAGTATTGTGCTAATAGCACCGTTGTTTACCGTTTTGTTAAAATTTTCGGGAATGCGTCAAGTATGATAAAATCGTTTCCCACAGTACTTCCCCTTCAGTAATGATACCCCCCCCCCATTTAGATTCAAATGTTTTTTTCTCATCATTTAGGATATATTTTGTAATTGTTCAATTTGCTAGTA